TCTGCTCCTCCTTCATGATGCTCTTGATGATGTCCCTCTCAATATTCGCCTTGTGCCAGGGTTGCCGTTTTCGAGGAAATAGCACCAAATCATCTAACTGTTGCTTCAAACTTATGTGGAGTGCCCCATGCTTCTACAAAATCTAAACACATGGCTGCCTTGTGCAGGGAGTGCTCGTCTCGCTTGTCAGACTCCAACACGCAAGCCACCACAGCAAAGCCATTGCCCTTCCTGAGGTGAGAGTAGAAGCGCAAAATTTCGTGGTGCTTGATGCCTTTCCTGAGCCGGGTGTTTCGAAAGAGTATGACCCAATGGCTATCAAATGTTCGAAGTAACCTCCCTTGTTGGGTTGCCATCTGACGGAGGCAGGGCAGGTTCAGCTGTCAAACAATCCCAAGAAGGGCTCTCCATTGGCGCCATGCCCTTCATGCAAAGAATGAGAAGCCATGGAAGCCAAAGAGAAGAAAAACGGGTGCCTGGCACGAATGACTTGGATTGGGAAGAATGCTCAAGACTCTGCTGTTCAAGTCAGAAGGAACCTTCGTGGAAAAATCAACAAAGAGTGGCCTAGGTCTTGAGTGAGGACAAACAACACAAAGAGACCAGGTTGCGAACAAGAAAAAAACATCTTCAAAGTGCGGGGGGTGCCATCCCTCAATCTGGATCCATTAACGTGACATCCTCAAAATTGCCCTCTAAATAGTTGTCAAAGGCAACCGCGGCAACCACACGCAAAAGTTGTTTTTGAGAACCCTGAAACTGCAACCAAAAGGGACCTAGTGACTCAACTCACTCCGAGCTGCAGCTCCTCAGACAGGTGGATGCGGTACAAGATCAGAACCTGAGGGCGCCAGTTCACCGCGTGGTGCCCTGAGGACTCCAGCTGGATCAAGCTGTTCAGGGCCAGTTGGTAACGCATGCCATCCAGGGCGCTGCCCCATTCTGCTTGCTCCAGCTTCCAATTGATGTACAAGTACCTGGCTAAAACAGACCTGGACCATCCACAACGCCCAAATCTGCTGATATCTTTTGCATCTTTGGGTCAGGTGACCCAGGTGCTTGCGAAGTGTTGATGTTTCTGTGGCCATGGCTGTCAGGCTGCCAGGGAAGGAGGTCGTAATGGTGGGTAAACTGCTGCTTTCAACAACAACGCTCAAAGCCACTGGCACGTGTTCAAATCTCAGTGCAAGCATGATCAATGCCAAGCAACACGAACAAACTGGCGAAGGAACAAGTAAGCAGCAAGCAAGCGAGCAAGCGAGCAAGCGAGCAAGCGAGCAAGCGAGCAAGCAAGCAAGCAAGCAAGCAAGCAAGGAAGGAAGGAAGGAAGGAAGGAAACAACAAAGGAAGAATGCAAACAACCAACCAACCAACCAAACAACTAAAGGCAACCCACCAACCAAAACAACACGCAAGCAAGCAAACTCGCAGGCAGGAAGGAAGGCAGGCGGGCAAGCAACCAAACCAGACAAACCAACAGACAGACAGACAGGCAGGCAAACACAGACAGACAAACAGACAAGCAGACAAACAAACAAAGAAACAAACAGACACACAAACACACAGGCAGACCAACAAACACACAGACAGACTGACAGACAATTAAACAAACATAAACAACGCCGAGACAGACAAACAAACAAACAAAAAACACAACGAAGCAAAAAACAACAAACAAAGAAAGAACCAACCAAAAACCACACAACCACACAAACAAACAAACAACCAAACAAACAATCAAAGCAAGTAAGTAAGCAAAGCAAGCAAGCAAGCAAGCAAGCAAGCAAGCAAAGCAAAGCAAGCAAGCAAAGCAAAGCAAGCAAGCAAACAAAACACAGAGACAGACAGACAGACAGACAGACAGACAGACAGACAGACGGACAGACAGACAGACAGACAGACAGACAGACAGACAGACAGACAAACAGGCAGGCAGCAAGCAGCAAGCAAGCAAGCAAGCAAGCAAGCAAGCAAGCAAGCAAGCAAGCAAGCAAGCAAGCAAGCAAGCAAGCAAGCAAGCAAGCAAGCAAGCAAGCAAGCAAGCAAGCAAGCAAGCAAGCAAGCAAGCAAGCAAGCAAGCAAGCAAAGCAAGCAAAGCAGGCAAGCAAGCATGGCAAGGCAAGGCAAATCAAGGCAAGTCAAGGCAAGGCAAACAAACCAAACAACCAAACAACCAAACAAGCAACCAAACAAGGAAACAAGACACACGCCCGCACTTGTCCCCAACCCCCGCATAAAACCAATGAATGGTCAAGGCGCAGGCCGAAGCTGAAGGCCAACACAGCCAGGGCCCAGAGTTCACTCACGATAGCCATGATGGACAAGCACACAATGGACCCAATGAGGCCCGTGGACATGTACCAAATTCGCCACCTCCTGCGGGACATACCTGGGCCGGGCAGAAATCAATTCATTCACAATAGAAATGCTGGATGCATGTTCGCTGGGCGGTCGAGTTGTTACTCAGTGGGACTGGTCATGAATGGAAAGAGGTGATTATTCGAGTCTGCATGCCACGGTGCCTGTGGGTCGAAAGCCGGGAGATCGGACCCAAGTCAAGATGAAGCAGGAGAAGTTCATAAAGGAATACGCCACCAAGAAGCACATGGTCAGCAAAGGTGCCACTGCATTGACCTCCCCGATCAAAACCAACATGGCGGCAAAGGCGTATGTCGCAAACAATGCTCGGACTGGCTCTCCGCGGGAAGAGAGCGGCGCAATCTTGTCGAAGATGGACAGGATCTTGTCCTCACACGCAAACAGCAAGCAAGCACGTGAACATGCTGTTGTTGGCGAATTATGCTCTGCAGCATCTCCAAAAAAGACACACTGCAAGGAAAACACACACGCACACACTCTCACAAACAAACACCTGGACCGGCCCACTACGGCCAATTTAAGTGCCAACAAAGCAGAATATGTGAGAGGGACCGCCACCAAACAAACGGGGTTTGGAAGGGTGCCACTGCACAACTGGGCTGCCATGTTTGCCAAGCCCAGTGTCTGGCCCATTGTTTTGTGAATCACAGTTGACCACCCCTCTCAACAGCCAAGCAGAAAGCCCAAGCTGTCCAAGATCCCAGATGTCTTGAGACTTGTGTCGCATCTAGACCTTGAAACTGTCCTATGTAAACCAGGTTCCTGTTGACGCTCCAAACTTGAAGAGAGGTGTTCATTTTCAATGGCTCCGAAGGGACTGAGGTCGGGTCTCTTGCGATGCTCTGCAGAAGGCGCGGGGCGACAATGAGGCACTGCAACGCCTTGCCAGGCACTGGGCAAACAGCACTGAGGATGGGTTTGTCTCCCACATGGAGGTGATACACCTTGTCTTGCGGGCTGGTTTGAAGCGAGTTCCCTTTTGGTGCAGTGATGTTGTAGAGAACATGTAGGACACCCTCGCTAGTATGCATTTCCTCAAAAACAGTTGAATGCAAGCAAAATAGCCTGACTCTGATTCCTGAGGGGTGCCGTAGCTGCAACATCTGGAAACCAATTGCGGGCCAACGAACACTTGCTCGTAAAGAATTTGCTGTCAGATGCAACTTAGAAAGTGCTCAAAATCGCAGGTGGGCCAACTGAACCCATTGGCTCGTGACAGCTCTCACGCCTGGCTGAGGGAGGAAATGATGATGCCGATCTGTGCAGAGTGTGGGAAAGGATTCCACACAATCTCCTGCAACTTGAGAGGCTTCAAACTTGGCAGTGCTACGAGTACATGGAACATGCCATGGAACACTCCTAAACAAAACAACGCAAGCGTAAATACTAACGGTTCGACAAACAAATTTTGCTTCAAGCTTCCTTGCTGACCTTCCCTTTCATGCTGCCTCCTAAATTGACTTCTACACGCAAACCACTGCAAAACGGCCAACTTGATGCAGGTGTTTACTTCTTCTCTGAGTCTTGATTTGTTTCTCCACTTTCCTCCTGGGATGTGTGTTTTCGTGATTGGCTTGATATCTTCCACCGGGAAGAGTATTCTCGCTTTTTCCTACAATGCTGTGTTTCAGGGTTGGATTGGGAGTCGTTAAGAGTGTGTTTAGTTTGGAGTGGGTTAAGTTGTATTCGGGCCTAAGGATTTGATCTGTATGTAGTTCAGGGGTCCAGGTTTCTGTTTTTCTTCATGGTGCGTTCAAGGTTGGATTAGACATGGTTTCAGGTTGGCTCTGGCGTGGATCTGGATGTGATTTAGTGTGGGTTTGGGGCCAGAGCTCGGGCTTCAAGTTGGGCTTGATCCAGCTGGTGTTTGGGGTAGGTTCGGGCTATAGGGTTTAGGGTGCAAAGCCACAAGCCGCAAGCCCGCACACGCCGCAGCAAAAAAACACAAACAAAAGGCTTGCCGTCAAAAGTCCGTCAAAACATGGCTCTGGCTCTCTTAGGGATCCTCATCGGCCCTAAGCAAAGCTTAGCTGTTTGGACCGTATCGCATGGATGCAAAATCAAAATCAGCTACACACCTACAACAGGACAACAAAAAAGGGTAACCCACCAACAAATCCCTTTTCTGTGCTTGAGGCCGCCAAAACCCTTACGTGCCGAACAGGAATATCTCTAAATCCTTCGTTTAAAAACTCGCCTTCGTGTTTGATTTTATCATGTAATCTTGTAGTCTCTTCCGTAGTCTTCCCGCAATCTTCCCGCAATCTTCCCGCAGTCTTGCGGTTGTCTGCCTGTAGTCTTCGAGTTCTTGTAGGCTTCTGCTAGTGCTCCGGCTACTTCTCATCTATCGTATTTCAACCGCTCGGGTAGGCTGGCCTTCGTTCAAGACCTGCTCGGGCACTGCAAAAGCAGCAAATGCACAATGAGAATCCGTTGTGTTAAAGACTCGCCTCTGTTGGGTGTTTACCTTGTTCCACTCCAATACATAAACCTTATGCCAACCTTTTTAGTGGTAGTTTCCTTGCGTATCCATTGATGGTGTTTGTCCATTCAATGTCTCACTTGTCAAGTCTGTGGTCCAATCTAATCCAGCAGAATCCGGCAAAGTGAGCACACCACCAAACTATGGAGCCCTGCCCCAAGACAACCATGAGCCAAGGATGGAGTCGTCCAATCCGACTCCACGCGTTGCGCCCCGACGGGCCTTTTGAACCACCGACTCGTCTCCTCCACCAGGTGATCTCCCGCTCCGGCCCCGGCCAGGCGGCGGTGACTATGATCATCCCCGTCCGCGTGGTACTCCTGCAGTGCACATGGCATGGGAAGCCCAACTACCTACCGGTGAAGCCAAACATAGCGCAAGCACTACGCAGAGCGGGAAAACAGCGCGCGCGATATACGACGCAGCGCGCCACACGCAGCAACAAGCAGCAAGCAAGGCAACAGTTCCCAGACCTCAGGCAGACAGACAACAGACAAACAGACATTAGACAATCAAACAGTCAAACAGTCAAACAAACAAACAAACAAACAAACAAACAGAAAGAACAAAAAAAAAACAGCAGGCAACCGGAAAAAAACAGACAGACAAACAAACAAGCAGGCCCACAAAGCGAGAAAGGGCCAAACATTGAGTGAGTCGTTGAAAACAACACAACCACCAACAGTCCATTGCGCGGGCGCCCATTGCTTGCTCTTCTCGCTTGACAGCAGGCCTGGCCCTGCAGATACCGATAGTCCGCCACACATCCCCAAAGGATAAAGAATGACCTCAGCCGATCGGGTCAGGAACATGCTGGCAAACTTGGTTGCCCAAAAGAACCAAAGACAAAGGGACCCCTTCAAAGAGTCGAGAACAAGCAAAGGACTCAGAATCTGTTTCTGGAAGGGAATGGTCAGTTCGTTCCAGCCTTTTCGGCACCCGCAGTAGTTTGACACCCTGAGAATCCTCGCTATCCCAATCAGGCGGCAAACAAGACTCCCAAAAAACACAAAGCGCGGTAAATGCCGGCCCGCCTAAAGTTTGGTTGGGGCCATCCCTAAGTCGAATGGGAGCGCAAGTCAGCTCCTTGGGAGCTGGCGAGTACATGAAAAAGCTGAAGATGATGGCACCAAAGGTCCCGTCCTGATAAACGTGTGCAAATAGGAAAACCCATTCATTGGAAGATGTCCACAACCGTAGAAGGAGTACCCTCAAAAAAGGACAACTATATGGGCCGGTCCCAAACTTGAGAAGCCCCATTTCTTTGAAGACTGAGTAATGAAGGCACGGCAAACTTTGCACACATTGCCAATGACAGCTGGCTGGACTGAATCTATCCAACATGCGAGACCATTGAAAAGCTTGGTCCTACCAACATGCCTTGGTTTGATTCGAGCAAAAACATCTGCGTGTCTTGATACAGGGTACTGGGGGGTGGCTAGATTCAAGGGAAACCGCCGCTCGAGGAGGTTGAGACAAACCCGTATTGGTCTTCATTCCTCATTCTACCAAAGGGCGCAGTGGAGATCCCTTGCAAAAGCGGCCAACACAGTTACTGTACAACGCTTCGGGCGAGCCCGAAAGGAGTCTCCTTGATGTTCCTTGGCGGATCCTTCAGAATATCTGCGCGGTTGGCCCCGCTCAGAATGCCCGTGAAGCAGGGGAAGAAAACACTCAGCACCACCTCAGTAGGTCCGCAAAGCAAGAGTTTGCAGTGTCAAAATTAGGAAACCTTTCACATGAAAAAAAAGTTCCTTCGGACTTCCCAAAGGGACCTTCACCGAGTTTGATGCAAGGCTGCGAGGTTGTGCAGGGTCGCCCACGAATCAAGCATGATCCTGACAAGGATGTGCTTCGGAATGGGGTTCCCGTCCTTTTTAAAAGGCGGTGTTTTCCAACAGCAAGCAAAAGGACCCACAAATATTCAAACTTTCGCCACACCTGCCCAACACAAAGCACAACCTGTTGATCCCAGTTGAGGATCAGTTGTGTTTGTCTCTCACTAGCGGGACTCATTTCATGCCACATCACGGGGTGTTTTCCCACAAAGGACCCAGTTCAACTATCCGTTGGGCGCACGTTCTGAGTGTGTGACTCCGAAGTTGGTCTGGTCGTCGTAGTGGGGCCCCCAATTTTTCTGAAACGTGTCCCAACCTGAGAGTAGGCGCATGATGTGTTGGACCGGCTCAAATACTTAAAAGAGCACATGAGATGTGTAGACGATTTGCAGCCTGGGTCTGTATGTGTCACTGGTACTTTGGCTTGTTGTGTCTTGGAGGCTGTGGGAACTCGTGACGAACGCCCTAGTTGTTTGTGTTATTGTCAGCTGACGCCTCTCTTGAGAAGCATAAGGCGAGGTGCTCTCTGACAGGCATGCCCTCGTCTGGACGGTTTGTGCTCTTGAATTGGGGAACCTTTGGGCTGGTTGATAAGACACTTTCCTGCTACGGTGATCTGATTCGGGTTGGCATGCTTCTTCACATTTGCCAGCGGGCACTCCTGTCCAGATCCAACTTGAGTTGGGGCATGCTGGGGCCCAAACTGAGCCCGGTCACCCACGGATTTGCCTTCGCGATGTCCTGCGCGAGGACAAAGGACCATACACCCTACTGCCAGCTGATGATAGACTCTCGTATTTTGTTCATGGCAAATCCCTTTTTAAGAGACCTCCTGCTGCCGAACCACCGACAAAACCATGAAGCTTTGAAAAGCAATGCTAGATTCTGCATTTCACACTACCAGCAAAGGTTGGTGAACAAATCCGAGCACTGCAAGCACCGTGACATGCAGCTACCTGGTCAACATGACCAGACACAATTGTAGATTCATCTCACCCGCTTGCTATCAGCGCAACTTGCAAAGCAACCCCGACGGCTCCGTGAGGGGAGCACTGATGATGCCAGCATAGTAGGATGCCATTGTGTAGAAGACCTGACAAACTGGCAGTCCAGCGGGCAGTATCAAGCCGTTCCCAGCCTACGGCAAATTCGTTCCTGTTTTCATCCGTTGTTTTCAGGACTCCTCCACATATCAAACGTGTTTGTTTTCGTTGAGGATGCCCTTGTTGGGGTTGATTTTGATTCAGACATGGAACCAACCATTCTCGGGGTCCCCGGTTTGAGCAGAGCGCAACATTCATGGGATTTTGGTTGTACGAAGACAGTTCTAACGGCTTCTGTAGGAGTTACACTTACCCTTATTCAACCAAACAATAGAAGAAGAAGAAGAAGAAGAAGAAGCCTCTTGCAAAACTTGCCAATGGGAGTGTTGGGCGTTGCTGATGTCAAATGCCAAAAACGACCCTCTCGCACGCGGTTGAGGCCACGACGATCAGCACAAAGAAGATGCCCAGTCGAGTGACGAAGGAGGTGCCACCCCACACCTAAGGCACGGAGGTTGCTTCTCCATGCTGGTCCTATTTATGGCCCTGCACTATGGTTGCGATGATTCTCAAACCGGAAACATCGGGGAGCAACTCTAAAGGACCATCATGAATGATTCTTGTTGAGCCCCCAATCGGTGAGATTCTTCAAAATTGCCAGGTGGCTGCAACTCCCCCCAGGTACAGGGCAGATTTTTCGCATGCGCTGTGAGCTATGCATGTTTGTACGGGGCCCAGGGATGAGAGCAAGATACTCCAATTCACGTCTGCGGCTGGGGTTTTGTCCGAGGCATCGGCTGCTAGGATCAACACCGCCATGAAGCCGGAGCCAAAGGCCTGCAACAAAAGTTGCATTCGGAGTCTGAAGGGCGCCCTTCAAAAAGCTGTTCGTTGGGAATCTGTTCGGGTGCCATTGGCCTGTTTTGGCTACTTCTGTTCAGGTGCTCGGAAGGGGGGAAACTCAGGTTCTGCGATGGCTTCGAGAAAACCTCCATCCGCCTGCTTGCAGCCGGGGAAGTTCAAAGAAGGCGCGGCCATGAGCAAAGCCTCCACCTGCGCTCAGCTGAAGCTTTGAAGCCGTCATCTCCCGTGCTCAACTGCAATGCGGGCGTCAATTTGAGGGCCAAAGCCAACGCGGATCCAAACGGGCTTATGCGTAGAAGCACAAACCAAATCTTGGGGCAGTGACCGTAATAATATTAGAGAATCGCAAGGTACCAGAGACCAACCTAACCTCCCTTTGGCTTGAAGGGCAAACAAAAACGATGTTTTTGGTTGACTTAAAGTTGTTGCCCTGAGTCACTGAGGGCTGCGCTGCTCCAAGGGTCTCCAGCACTGCAAGTAACGTGATGGCCAGCCAGTACATGATCCCCACCTCACGGTGACGATGCATCGAAGCAACAACGTCGCAGGATGGGTGACAACGCAACTGCTGAAACAAGGGGTTGGGCTTCTCTTGAAATGAGAGTCTTTTGCAGATCGTTTTAGAGAAGTGGTGCAAATTGAGAATACCCCTTAAGGCTACGACTGTGGAACCCTTGATTTAAATATCCAACCGGGCTCATTCATATGGCTGTGTCTTGAAAGAGAAATAGCACCCCCAAAATTGTGGTGCTCATTGTGTGTTTTCCTTTCTAGCAACACCCAAAAGGCTACGTCCCTCAACATTTGCCCATCATTTGGAGAGGTCTTACCCTTCCACGACTTGTTCTTTCACAGCTGGGTTTGTCGGGGAGGGGGGGCGGGGGGGGGGCAACATTGAGCCCCACCAATCCGTGCTGAACATCTGGGACTTCTGGCAGATGCTCCCACTGAAGGTCCCAGGGCACGAGAGATCATGTAGTACGGCCTCAGTCATGTTTGGTCCATGTGTCCCACATGGTGCAGGGAACCATAAAAATCCAAGCCAGCATTGGCTGAAACCGATCAAAGGACAACACAAACACCACCGGAGTGGGCAATAGTTATTGTTTGAACCAAGTCCCCACTAACCCCGGACTCAATTTGATGAACAGTTGAATAGCAAGATGTAGAACTGCAGCATCTCTTGGTGCTGCTGCAATGACTATGAGGTTCTAGGGCGGCAGCCCTCCTTTGCTCACCAAACCACCGGAGGAGACGATGGCCGACATAGACGATGTCCTCGGCTCAAAGCCATTGTCTCTGTTCTAGATGCCCACTTCGCGAGACCATACTGCCCTGCGCGTTGGTTTCAACAGACCTCGTTTTGTACCAATGTTCATGACATTGCAAAGACGGCTTCCGAGTGGATGCAGACAATGAACATGGCAATGCTGTACAACTGTGTGAGAATCCTCATGAACTCTCTAGAGCGCCGCTGGCCTTGCTCTTTCCATGTGAACACGAATGAGAGCTTCCTGAACCATGACTTTGACGTCACACACTGTGACTGTCGCACAGGGGCGAACTCATGCCGATCTGCCTTGATCATATCTGAGGATGAGACGTGCAGAAGGCAGCGCAGAACGAGATGAGCACGCACAGAAGCGCTTGTCCGATGCCAGCCTGAATCACATCAACCGTGCATACTTGCTAGAAGCTTTCCTGCATGCCTGACACTGGCATCAGCTGCCTGATTGCAATTCCTTCGTGTAAAAGAAGAATGATCGGAATAATAATGCTTTAGAGAGGCTAGAACGCTCGTCAACAACCCATGTAGCTAGTGCCGTGACTGATGCAGGTGGAGCAGGCTCAAAGTGACTGAGTGACTTAGTGCCGCGCCTGGCCCACGACGAAGTAAAAGCGCAGGAAGATGAGCACACCCCACATGTTCTCACAGGTAGGAACCTCAGCAGCGGAGCTTCAGATCCATCCCCGTTCAAACTACAAATGGACAGATTGGACGGCCAAAGGTCGAACACGGCTTCCCAGTTGATGTGAAGCTGCAGAATAAATTGAATGATTGCCACATATGCCACCACTCCATCATCTTCATTGCAGCATACAATACGCAAGCTGCCAGCTGACAATGTGCGGCTGACGTGCGACATATCAGCAAGGTTCGCCGCAATTTAGACAAACATGAAACAACATGTTGCGAGGATGCCAGCGTTGGTAGGTAAATTTGGAACCACGTCAAACCCAGAATCTCCAAAAACTAAGCTCCGCATTTCGCGGGTACTAGCCGTGACTCACTGAAGGCCCCGGCAAAGACTCCGGCAAATGCGCCCTTCTTGTGTTTGTGCCTCGGGATCAGGGCTGTTGCACTTCGGCATCATCCGATTGAAACAACATATCACCTGGGATAGCAAAACTAAGCCGCCCCCCCAACAGCCACGCCTAAGGAAAGGAACTTTCATAACCAGGTGAGGTTGGCTTCCCCCCTGACGAGGCCGCTCCACTGAATCAAAAACAAACCGAGTTCAAATACAAGTACTACCCAGGAATAACCGTTGCCATGACTCGTCAATCTGTCCATTCGTCTCGCTATCTGAGTGCAGGGCGCTTTGTGGTCATGCTTGTCCCCGGCACCGAGAACCTGAAAATCCAAATGCAGTCGCCTGCTTTCCAACGTCTGCAAATCTAAAAAAAGCGCACACCAGTGCCTCAAACCCATATTGCAAGGGAGGATTCCTGTAGCATTTGTGGTGACCACAATCTGTGGAGTGCACTTGCTGCCGAGCTAGCTCTAGGTGCGGCACGCTCTCAACCAGGAGTGACTTCTTGCTTTGTTTGCTTTCACCTGCAAAGCAATAGCAACCAAACAGAGGCACCACGCGCGTCCAATGCAAAGCGCTTTTTGGGAGCGGGGAATCCAGTGTCATCTGGCCAGGATCCCGCAGTTTCCTGCCTTCATGAAGGATTGCTGGTGTACTCTTGGTCAACTTGTTCAGCTGCAAATTTGGACTCCAAAAACTGACTTGAAATGTTGCAAGTAAGCCAAGCAAAACTCTGCTAAATTACAGGGTGTTCCTTGTTCCCTGCTTTAAACATTGAGTGACTCAATGGTACCTGCAAAACCTCTTCAGTGCCCCTCCCAATGCACTGCATAGGAAGGAGTGGTCTTGAGTGGAAACCCTTGAAAAACATCTCTGAATTGTTCAGGTTGACTCTTGCGGAGAAGTAGTCAGCCGCATGCAACAAAATCCGGGTCACTCGCCTTCTGATGCTCCATGCTTCTTTTGTGAAGGAGCAGACATCTTTTTCTTCACCGACTGCCTAAGCTGAGGTGCGCTTGCTCCGTCTAACGTCACTCATTGTTCGCTTTCCGGCTTGACGAACCCTGTGTTGAGTACCATAAAACTGTCGGTCCAACCCCAAGAATGGGGCAACTGACAGAAAGAGCCAACCTCCCACTTCCCTGGCGACAGCTGTCCTGATTCTACAAGCAGCTGCTTCTTTAACATCCGCTGTCAGTTGGACAGTCCGACATAAGAAGTTGCCTGAACTTCCAGCTACTCGTGCCTAGGCAAATTATGAACTTTGAACTTAAATCAAGGAGTTGTTTGAACATCATCAGCTTTGATGCAATCCAATAAAGTCAAGGCACAAGCAACTGGCACCACAGGAAAACTGGATGAAAACAAACACCAGCACAACACCTCAGGCAAGAGTCAACGTCATCTAGCCCCGTGAGCTGACATCATCAATACGTCCTCTTGTCAGCCTTTGACTTACACCACAAACATCACTGGGGTTACCCGGCTTTCCCAACACATGTGCGCTGTCCTGTATGTCCTGAGGCAGAGTGTCTCTTTCTTGTAAGAATGAATTTGCTTGCACATGTTTCACCATTGCACATCATCAGGCAACACCCTGACCAACTAATGAGCAGCCAAGATTCATAAAACTTTGATTGGTGGATAGAGAGGTGTCCCATTTTACGGGGAGCCTTCACTTGACGACAAAACATCCACCTTTTACTCCGCAGTTGCTTCACAGCGTTTGGCAAGTAAGGCTGCGTTTAGCAAACGGTCTCATCAGCTACCTCTGTGTGTCTGTTGCATGCGGGCATATTTGGCTCACATGAAAAACTGGCAGTTGATCAATATTCCTGTTTCCGGAAAAAGCCATCTTCGCGAGACAAAAGTTCTTTCGCGAATCTTTGAATCTTTCGCGACTCCATCGCCACGCCCTTGTGTTTGCAGCGTGCGCTCTGGAGCCATTGTGGCTGCTGCAGTTATGCTTGCAAACACGGTAGCCGCAGTTCACTTGCGTGCAGTACGTAGTGTCAAGTGCAAGCACGTCATTCGCCCTTGCCACTTGCGCTTGCCGGCGATGTGCGGAACCTCGCAACATACGCTGCCTAGCCTTTCGCCGGTCTTTCGCGGATCTTTCGCGAAACTTGCTCCAAAATAGCCCAGCCAACGTTATTGATTTGCACCTTTCCCAACACAGGCAAGGAATCAATAATGCAAGTGTAGGTGCTGCGTATCTCCCTATCTACAAGGGAGCGGGGTCTGCAAATATGTAAGTGCACAGGCATGCCTCCAAGAATCCAACGCGGAATCTTTCGCGAAAAAAAAAAGAAGTTTCTTTCGCGAACTCCATCGCCGATCTTTCGCGGAGGATTTAAGCCAAGACGAATGGTCACCGAATGCATAACTCCTTGCAAGGACCTTTTGATCAACCCCCAACTGGGCACAAGCAAGCGATCCCAACGATGAGTGGCTATTTTGTTTGAAAAAGGGAGGCGCCAATTTCTGACACGTGTCCATACATAGCGGGGGGGAATTTGTCATGACAATTTGAGTAAACTAAACAACAAGGGAGGGAGGGAGGGGGAGGGAGGGAAGGGGAAGGGAGGGGGAGGGAGGAGGGGAGGGGAGGGGAGGGGAGGGGAGGGGGGAGGGGAGAGGGGAGGGGAGGGGAGGGGAGGGGAGGGGAGGGGAGGGGAGGGAGGGGAGGGGAGGGGAGGGGAGGGGAGGGAGGGCGAGAGAGCGAAGAAACAAACATTTGAAGTCTCCCACGGCCAAAACCAGATTGCCATGTTTTCCCCCATCGCCCTAGCAGTACATTGGGTTCCATCTGTGAAGCCAAGCCCGGGGGCCCATTCGGCAAAGACCACTGAGGCGCCGGCGAGAACTCTTTCGCTTGCCTCGCCAATTCATCGGAGGGCATCCTCGCAACCTCAGCCCAGGGATCCGCGGATTTGTTTTTCGGTCCTGAAGGTCACCGGGGCAATCCTGAAATCGGCATGAGCCGCAAATAGTACGATGGATTGGAGGAGAAATGAAGCGAGACAGGGCGCAATGTTTGCCAAATCCCAAGAAATGTGTGCCCTTATGAGTCCCTTGCGCTAAATGGCTAAGCTCGGCCAAGCATCCCCATCCGTGCTGGTGTGCCGTGATTCAACCACACCTATATTATGTATGTATATATTTATATAGTGTTGATTTATTCATGTATTTGTTCAAATATGATTTGAGGCCCTGGGTGCATAAACGTGTACTGGTAAGCTCAAACAGCGTTGATATTATGATGGCTGCTGTTTGACTATGCTGACTCAGCTTACATCTGGGGGTTCATTCTATTTTGCAACTCAAAGACTGGCACGATCAAGGTCCAATGGTTGTCTCGTTCTTGCAGGGCTCAAATTATTGGGTTTTATCTCGTATCAAACAGAAGGCCAAACATCAGACATTCATGGTGCTTGGTCTGGCTTGCTTTGAGACCACCTGGGCACAATCCTCCAAAAAAATGGCCATTTGGCACGTAAAGCAGGCGGAGAAACTGAACTGAGACTTCCATTGATGCCACGGTGGCAAGAATGCTTGGGCGCGCACGAAGCCCGCTTCTTCCATTCCGCCTGTGCAGCTGAGACTTCGAGATGCGGATGTGGGCCCCTCTACATCAAACAACCCGAGTCATGTCGTTGTCTCACTTCAGGGTCGCATGGTGTCCTCTGCTTGTCGCAGGTGGGGCCACGCATTAGCCGGAGTCATGAAATATTGTGCAATAAGCATATTGGCCGTCATGAGGATGTTGATGCTGCATTGCCTCCAACCAAGAAGAACACAATCACCCCTGCCAAGAATAGACAATTGTTCCCCAAACAACATACGGATGGACTGCTTAGTTTCGGGCAAAAATCCTATTTAGAGTTGGGAAAGCCAACTTACAACTGGGGAAAAAGGTTCCAAGAGGATTCCGAGACAAGAAGCTGTTGTGGGATAAGTTGTTCAAGTCATTATTGTGAAACTGTGGCTCATTGGGTTATGTTGGGGACGACTGAAATGCCTATGGGGCCTGCCCGGAGCAGTGAATCCTCTGTAATCAGACAAATCAATATTTTGAT